GCTGGGCTGAAGTAGTTAGATCAGTTGATGATTAACTTTGACATTGAAACTGATGTTAATGTATTTGTTAATGTTAAGTTAAATATTAAAGTTAACTATCGAATAGTCTTATTAACTATATTTGGTTTGCAGTATATAGGTATTAATCATTTTTTTTTATTTAATTGTATCTTTACAAATTTATATATAATAAAATAACTATAAATAACCAAGTAAAAGTATATTGAAAAAATGACTATAACAATATCCAAATTACAAAAACATCCAGTTGTATTCTACTTTGATAAAAAAAATTGCACATTATATAATCATAAAATCAAACACAGCAGTAGTATTGCTTCTATGAAGAGACATTTTATCAATAAGCATAATGATGAATGGCTTGGTATTTATAAACATAAATTTATCAGAAGCAGAACTCCAAATAAGAAACATTCAGTAGAGAAATATTTTTGTAAAAAGAAATGCATTGTATGTGATTATGAATTTTAAGTTAATCCAAAACTTTTAACTATAAAAAAATACTTTATAGATACTTATAAAACAAATTAAGATATATTCATTAAGTCAAAAAAGTTTATGATTAATTATTACAAAATAGATCTAAAACTTGAGTTGTTAAGAAACCAATTATAAAACCTACTGTTCTAACTAAAAAAACAAAAGAGTTAAAACCTAAATCTAAGAATACTATTTCGAAAAAGAAACTCAAAGTAGTTAAAAAGATTTTCAAGAAACCTACTACTGTTAAAGAACAAAGATTACCCTTATTTGGTCATGATACCCAAATTGTAAATCATTATTTTAACTAATATAATATACTAAATATGTATCAATATAACATATGTTATGAGGTAGTTCAACCAGAATTAGTCTTTTTGCATGTAAAACTCAGATATAAAAAAAGATTTTTAGGTAATTCTGATAAATTTGAAAATATTATATAACTCTATGAAATATATAAATAAAGCAATTCTAATTTTAAGTTAACTTATAAAAATATTTGAAGCAACTTTTGCTAAAGCATCATTGTTTAAAAATGGCATCAATGCAACAAGAGAGCTTGTTACTGATGTTAACATCAAGTTTATAGAATCTGGCATCAACTTTACAAGTATAGATTCATCACACATTACACTCATTTCTATCCATATTGATAAAGAAAGTTTTGAAAAATATGTTTATGATAAGGATGAAAATTATTGTTATAAATCTTAATTACCTAAACAAGATACTCAGTTGTATGAAGAATAATGATACTTTTACACTTAGACTAGGAAATTCAGATTTTCTAAGTGTTTTATACAAGAGTTTTGTTGATACTAATAAAATTGAATATGAAATTCGATTACTAAATATTGACCAGAAAAGGATCAGTATTTCACCTACTAACTACAGTGTGATCATTGACATGCCTTCTATCAAATTAAAGAAAATATTCTTAGACCAAATAATTGTAAATAAAACAGTAAGAATAATTGTAAAACAGAATATTGAAAC